CAAGATGTGGGTGTTGGGTATTGCATCTCAGTGAAGAGAAAGACAACCAACACATCAACATTGTCAGAAAACATTCTGAGGATGTTTTGTTTTCTACAGGTACAGGTGCTGTTTCTTCAATTGTCCTAGAGCTACTGCTCTTGTGAAGTGATTTCGCTATACAGCAAGCAACCTTTGATGCATTATTTTCTCCATTATCCAGGAGTATATTTCAGGAAAGTGCGGTGCATCTCCAAACGGCACTGCCGCACACTCAGCAGTGAGATTCTAGGTTATTAAAAGGGTTTAGGTCACATGAACTAGTTGTGCTAGACCACTTCTTTGCTGTGAGGGATCATTCTGAATATTTCAAGATGTTAAGTGTCTCTGGTCCTTACTAAAATCTAGTGGAACCTTTTGATCATTATGATAAGGGCTCCTGTCACCCTCATTTTCAAAACAACCTCTAAGAGGCAGGCCAGGTCCCATTAACAGCCATCGTTTTGAGGGTCTCCAGTGACCTGCTGCTCTTCAGAACCAGCGATCACACACGCTCCTTGGAGTCTTTGTACCTCGACGCAGTCCGCCAAGGCTTCCTGCCCGGCCCTCGGTGCACTGTGTGCTTCCCCCTCCACCCAACCCCTGTCCAGGCTCCTCGTTTTCCACCTGATCAGGTGGAATCAGGCTCCACCTGGTGATCAGGTTCCTCGTTTTCCACCTGATCGTCTATGTAGGTCTGGCCTCCGTCCTTTCTTTTCTACCCTTCGCATTCTCTCCTTGATGAAAACTTCAACACCAGTTCCAGGCAGCTGTTCCCCAAGTGTTCTTCCCTGTCGTTTCTGTCCAACTCTCACCGCGCCTGGCCCTGTGAGTCCTGAGTGAGACACATCCAGTGCTAGGGGGGTCTTCTAAGCCCAATTTGCTTCAGACCTTTGAGTTAAGAACAGCATCTGCTCACTCTGCCTGAACGCGGCAGCTCTCGCCACGGCTCTCTGCTCCCTGCATCCTGCGCTTGCCGAGTTCTCTTGAGTCTACAGAACAGAACAGGAACAGACTATTCAGGGCTAAACTGTGCAGAGATCAGAGCAGCGAAGATGGAGATCCTGAAGGAGCCACTCTCAGCCCACCCTTATTTTAATTTTTAGAAAAGGCTTTGGAGTAGCCTAATTTTTCAGACCCTGGGCATACTGCCCTGAGCTAATTTGTTTGCTTGAATTAATTATCAGCGGGAGGCAGCTGCCTCGTTTTCACAGTGCCTTTCTCATTGGGAAGGAGCAGTTTTATTGGAACAGTCCGATTTTGGCTTCTTGGCTCAGAGTGGAAAGGGTGCCTCGACATTTCCATAAAGACATTTGGATGCTGCGAAACCATTTTAGGATATGAAACCTTATCTTCCTTTTTCCCCCAGGGAAGAAAAACATCACGGGCTTAATTATCTCTGTAGAATAACTTCCTCATTTGCTTTTCATGTTGCTGGTGGAAAAAAAGATAATGATACTGTTTTGAAAATATGAGATAATGATGGATGATTTCAGGCAACTCACTTCTGATTTTTATCTACATAAATAACACCTCAAGTAAGAGGTCAAAGACGCACGTAGGTTATATGTTACCCTTCCAGTTGATAAAAGATCTGCTGGGAAAGCAGATACAAATGCAGAGATGGTGCAAGTGATTGTGCTTCATACAGATTATAAAAAGATTCTTATAATTAGTTGTTTTTTTTTTTTTTTTTTTTTTTTTGGTTTTTCTCCGGTACCGGGAACCGAACTCACGACGTTGCGCTTGCCAGGCAGGCGCTTTTGCCGCTGAGCTAAATCCCCAGTCCCAGTTGTTTTTTTTTTTAAAGACAAGTTCTTGCTGTATAGTTCAGGCTGGCCTTGAGTTCTGTATGTAGCCCAGGCTGGCCTCCAAATTGTGGCACTCCTCCTGTATCAGTCTTCTGAGTGCTGGGATTACAGGTGTGCGCCACGCCCAGGTAGAGTTCTTATAATTAGGAAAAGGAGGCGAAAGGTGTTTAACTCTTTATAGGTACGCATGCTAGTTGTGAGAAACATGCAGCATAGAATCCACCTTTTACAACAGTTTTGAAGCATGCATTACAGAATTGTACCCCAAGTGCACCTGCGTGTGCAGCCAGCACACCTTGAAACCCCGTTCATCTTGCAACATGGAAACTCTACTCACTGAACAACAGCCCTGGCTGCCCTCTCCCCAGCCTTGGCAACCACTTTCTACCTTCTGCTTCTGTGAGTTTGACCTCATATAAGTACAGTCCTGCAGGATTTGTCCTTCTGTGACTGGCTCTTTTCACTTAGCATGGACAGGACTTCTTTCTGTGTGTGTGTGTGTGTGTGTGTGTGTGTGTATGTGTGTACCACCAGGGATTGAACCTATGGTCTTCAGACTGAGCTACATCCCCAACCCCTTTCAAAAATCATTTGAGACAGGGCCTCACTAAATCTCTAAGTTGCCTAGGCTGGCCTCTAACTTTAGGATCCTCCTGCCTCAGCCTCCCAGAGTACTGGGATTGAGGTGTAACATTCTACTGTATGCATAACACATTTTCTGCTTTGATTTCCCTGTTAATGGGCATCCAGTCTGTTTCTATCTCTTGGCTATTGTGAATACTGCTGCAGTGAACGTGGGAGAGCTAATAGCTCTTTGCGATCCCTTTTTCAATGCTGTTGGATAAATATTCAGGTATAGAATTGCTGAATCATTTAAATTGGTGGGGTTTTTGAGACAGTCCTCCATACTATTTTGCATAACAGCTATAGCGTTTCACATTCTCGCCAATAGCATGTGAAGTTCCAATTCTTCCACATCTTTGCTAACACTTGAGAGGTATATATAAAATCTCCAGTGTTCATCCTAATAATTATACAGTTATGTATTAATTTCTCATAATGGTTTTGAGTTGCAACTCTCTAATGACTAGTGATATTATTTTTTCATATACTGATTGGCCATTTGTACAATTTTTGTACTGCATGCAAAAGTCAACTCAAAATGGATTAAATACTTAGATATAAAGACCTGAAAATATCAAACCCTTAGAAGAAAATGGAGCAAAGCCTTTATGGTATTGGTCTTGGCAATAACTTCTTAAATAGGACATCAGGAAGCACCGGCAAGAAATGTAAAAATAGACAAGGGCCCTTCCTGTAGAACCAAGGAAACAACAGTAAAAAGGCCACTTGCAGAATGGGAGAGAATATTTGCAAACCATATTTTTGATAAAGAGTTGATATCCAAAGCTGTTGAAAAGGGAAAGATCTTCCACTGACTCTAGATCAGGAGTCAAGAAATTTGTCCAGCAAAGGGCCAGGAAGTACATATTTTGGCTTTGCGAGTCATATGGTCTTTGGCACAACTGTTCAGTCCGCTAGTGTGGTGTGGAAGCAGCCGCGGACAAGTCTGATAAATGGGTGGGTGTGGCGTGTCTTACAGAACGTTATTGACACGAGCAGGCCGGGGTGGGTTTGGCTTGTGGGCTATAGATCGTTGACCCTTACCTAGAACAACTCTGCCAAATATCCTCTAAAGGACAAAATCACTGTTAGCTGAGAACCTTTATCTAGGTGATCCAAATACTATGCAGTAATACCTCAGTTCACGAACGCTTCTGTTTGCAAACAATTCGATTCACAAAGAAAAGCATGCCGCAAAATGTTGCTTCTGTTCACACACTCTACCTCTGGCGACCAGCATGACCATGACCGTCAGAATCACACAAACACACACACAGCCGTCTTCCCCCAAATCATAAAACAAATGAAGTTCGTAAAACGAGGCTCTCTAAGAGAGTGAAACAAGACATATTTCCCTAACATTAAAAATAATAGGGTAGGGTAGAAGAATTGAACGTGATGGTATGTTTGTCTTAGGTAGGTCAAGGTCTCCTCAAATGGGCCATTAACACTGCCTAAATTTGGAAAGCAGTTCTAAAATAACTGGAATGGCAGCACACTTGGAAAGTGCTCTGTTAATAATGCAAATATGAGCTTAACCTACTTCTGTGGCGGCGCAGGAAACAAAACACTTCCACACATTAGCATGTTCTAATGGGACTTTCTGAGTTTGAGGGCTGGAAAGGCTGGAGAAAGCTCATACTGCGAATTCCCATTTGTTCAAAGGTTTATTTTTTCTGCTTATCTGCATTCAGGACTCAGAGAAGCAGAGTGATTTTTGAAAGCGCTCACATGTTTCTCATTGTTTGGACAGGGCCAGACAAAAATGGCCTGGTTTCACTGAAAATTGGCAACAACACATGTTTTTGAAAGTCGAACACAGCAGAGCACTCAGGAATAAATCCCAAGGAATGTTGTCCTCTCGTCATTTAGAATAAACACCTGCTTTGCAAGTGGAAGAGTGAGAGCTGTCTTAAAAAAATCAATTGTTTTCTTTTTGTCTTCAATCCTAGCATACTTTCAATGATTAACAAATTAAGTACAATTTGAAACGTTCCAATTTATAAAATCATGTTTTTGAGCAAACAAATGATAGAACGAATCCACATTTCCTAAGTAATTTCAGTTAAGCCCTTTAAACTAATTTCCTCCTCAGAAATGAAGGAAATGAATTGACGCTTTTCTCTTCTAATAACGTTCTCTGTTGTGCAATATGTTTTTTTCTGATTGACACGGCCCACAAACGTGGCTGTGGCCCTTGAGAGGACCTGTTTGTCACTCTCCTGCTGTAAGTTCCAGTCTCCCAAAGCGACAGGTGACAATCCCAGTGGCGCCCTCCCCCCGCGCCTGAACCCCGGCAACCAGCAGGCTGTGATCATTACGCGCGGAAGGGTCTCTTCTTCCACATTTGGGGCTGTGTGATGAGAAGGCCTTTCTTCGGGGCCTTCACGCAGATCCACGTGTTAGGTGCCCTCGGGGACTCGGCTCCTGATATTGTGTGTGTCTGCACGTTCTGCACAGCGAGCACCCACTCACCTGACTTCCAGGCCGGCCGGCTGTGGGTTTAATGGCTGCTTCTGATGGCAGGCTTGTCTCTCTGTCCCTCAGGTTACCATGGCCTGTACTGTGAGGAGGAGTACAACGAGTGCCTCTCCGCCCCGTGCCTCAACGCAGCCACCTGCCGGGACCTGGTTAACGGCTATGAGTGCGTGTGCCTGGCGGACTACAAAGGTGAGCGTTGCTCGGCCTGTCCGACCAGGATGGTTCTGCATGACCTGGTCGATTTCTCAGCTTTCATGCACAAACCTCTGATTGGAGCATGAATTCGTTTAGAGTCAAAATCGAATACTGAGGCCTGCAAGATTTATGGGTCCAGGGAGACCATTTTGCAACTCTCACCCCTCAGCGATACGCTGAAGACCGTCTCTCCTGCCCTTCCCGGCTCTCCTTCTGTTGAGTGTGTGAGAAGCTGAGAGCAGAAAGCGACCTTAAGGTGCATCTGGAGGCACGTGCGGGAGGCGGGAGGCGTCGGGGACACCCTGGAAGGCTGGCTGTGCAGAGCGGATGCTGTGCTTGCCGGCGGAGGGGTACGTGGAGTCTCACACATTGGCAAACAAGTTAATTCTCACGAAATGAGTCAGTTGGGAGGGAAATGTTAGTTCATTTGAGTGGATGCCTGTCAATGTCACTTTGGAAAAACAGCTGCCATTGACGGGGTGTTTATAACACGTGGACCATGTTCTAAGGCACTGCTGTGCATGAACTCATCAAATCCACCTACAAACCCCGTGGGCCGGCCGGTGATGGCACCCTCAGGAGCCCAGCCAGCTCGGCTCCTAAAGCCTTGTCCTCGCCTCCTCATTGGCCTCCAGCCACGACTCATGAACGGTGTGGCTACCCTGGAGCCCAGACACCCCCGGCCAGCGCTGAGCCAGGGGAGCGCGCTTTTAGCTGCTGCGTGCAGCTCTCTAACATAACTCCAGGGCTGGCTTTAGATTCTTGCAATAGCTGTTTTGCTTAACCTTTCACTCCAGTCACTGTTCACTTGATACCTTCCACCTGCCTGGGGACTTTGCCTGGTGGCCACTGTTGCTTCCGTTGGCACGGCTCCGCCTCAGATTTGCAGATGCATGGAGAACTTGCTGGAGCCCCTGAGGGGAGGGGCTGGAGCTGGGCCATGGCTCTGCACGTGGCAGGTTTGGTGCTTCTTTTAAAGTGTAATGCTCTTCGAGAACCAAATATCACCTACATCCTTGGAGGTGCAAAGGCAGGCACGCTGGTTCATCCTAACGGCTTTTCAGTCTGAGGTGGAGCAGAGCATGAGAAATACAGACCTCATTCAATTCTGGAAAGAAGAACCAGGGAGATAAGAATCAGGGGACCTTGGTTGCTTATCCTAAGGGTGCCATGGGCCACCTGGAAAGTCAGGACAAACCTCTTAAACTGAAGAATTTTCATTCTATCTGTTAAGCAAGGACAGTGATGCTTGCAGAGATTTTGTGTTTCTTCAGTAAAAGAGTTAGTATGCAGAATATGCTTAAAAAACAATTTTTTTTTTGTACCGGGAATTGAACTTACCACCTCACACTTGCCAGACAGGTGCTTGTGCCACTGAGCTACATCCCCAGCCTGCTTCACAAATTAAATCTGCTGAAATCCTTTAGTGCATGGTAGAATTTTATGAAGCAGATTTCATCTTTATAAGTGACGAAATCAATAATGAGATGTATTCTGAATATGCCCCCTACCTTTCTATCTTTGAACTTTTGTTCTTGCTATCATTAAGACATAAGAAATACAGTTGCATGTAAGCAAATCCCTAGACTATGATCCTAGCCTTTTTATATAGTTTCAGAATTGAACTCAGGGTCTTTGCAGGCTGAGCAACATCTCCAGCCTAGATTCTATTTTTTATTTTGAGCCCAGGTTCTTGCTAAGTTGCCCAGGCTGTGCTCAGACTTGCTGTCCTCCTTCCTGAGCCTCCCAGAGTGCTGAGATTAAAGCCGTGATCCTCACCTTTTTCCATTTTTCTCCTGGGTGTTCCAAAATTTTGCGTCTTCCTCTAACCTCTATATTGAACTACTAAGTCCTATCATATAACTGACTATCTCTATCTTCATTGGATAAAAGTGTGTTATCATGGATAAAATCCTCAGATTGATGGGATTTTCCATACCCTGCTGGTGGTGGTTCTCAAACTTGAGTGTGCACCCCATTGAGGACAAAGACTATGGGCTTCACCCTCACAGTTTCTAACTCACTGGGCTGGGGTGGGGCCCAAGAATTCAAATTTCTGGTAAGCTCTCAGGTGATGGTGCTGTGCTGGTCCATCACAGTGCTCACCCTATAAACAGCTGAAGTCACAGCCACTAAACCTTTACTCTGTCCCATGTTAGCCCATCACATGCTACTCATCCTGCTGAAGGTTAGTCTTTTCCTGTGTGCTGTAAGTTCTGCCACTTCCATCTTTCTGGGAACTTTCACTAGCATTTCTGTCTGCACATCTACAACTTTGAACTCTCCTTGTTCCTTTTCCTCACCCTATAAATATTGTCCATGCATCTCTTACTCTAAGGAAGTGAAGATTCTGAAAGATGGCAGCTGGAGTCCACATCTGATAGCCCAGATCCCTCCTCACTCTGGCGGCGGTGATTTGAGAAGCTAAGAGTGCTGTGCTGGGGATCTCAGACACTTCTGAGAAATTGGCCAGGTGCCGGGAGGCCTTGCTTATGCTTCCTAGGAATGGAGGATGGAAGGTACAGGGGGAATAGGCTCTGTGAGTAGCTGGGCTGGATGGACCCTCAGCTCACACAAAGTGAGTGTGCCTTGTATGACCCTGGGAGACAGAGGCATCTCCTAGCCTCACAGAGGCTGGCTGCCCTTTTAGAGAGTTGAACTGAGCCCATCCTTTGAGTTTTACATGTCAAAGAGAGAATAATGTCCTGCTAAAAACTCAGAGACCCTGAGAACCCCAGCTGGGAGAAGTCTCTCCACCACTGACCTTAGCAGACAGAATCCAATTGGCGGGCCCACCTGGTTCTGGATGGAGGACCTCCAGTGGCCTCTGTCTGCAAGGGCCTCCACCCTCCAGCCCGGCCAGGATGGGGACCTGCACCAGCCACTCAAAAATGGAGAGAAAAGAAAAAACAAAAATCACAATTGAGCCTGTGAACACTCAAGTAAGGAAGTGAAATGAGTGACGTATACTGCTCAAAACCGAGCTGCCATCTGCAAAAGCAAAAGGAGGAACACCTTTGTGATTGACAAAAACGAGGAAGTGGAAACCATGAGTGAAAAGATAGGAAACGTGGAGAAAAGATGCAAGGTTGTGTTTCCTTTCCGTTGAAGTGATGGGTGCTGTAGGGGTAGAAGGAACACATGGAAATAAAACCAGAACCAACCAGCCTGACGAGGTGTGTGAGCTGAGGGCAGCCTTCTCTTCACGTGGAATAGGCTCTCAGAGTGCTTCATGGTGATCACACACAACTTGAGGTTCCCTCATAAAATTTCTGAATCCTGGGATGCAGAGAGATTTTTATAAGATTCTAACAGGGTGTGCAGGTTGCACACAGAAGAAAAGAGTCAAGCCAGCTTTGAGCTGCTGTCTGTAAGGAAGGTGAACAGTAGTGGAACAGGGCTTCGGACTCCAAAGGGAAGAGGACTGTGAGTCAGGCACATCCGTACTTGAGGGCAGAGGAGAGATATGGCTGCCCACTGCAGGATACAGAAGCCACATCACCAAGTACCCTCTCTAGCAATAGTACATTAGGAAGCATCGTCACATGATGGCCCATGCCTGTAATCCTAGCACTCTGGGAGGCTGAGGCAGGAGAATTGCAAGTCGGAAGCCCAACCTGTGCAATTTACTGACTAAGTGAGGCCTTATTTCAAAAAAATAAGAATAAAAAAGAAGAAAGGAAAAGAAAAAAATCCGGAGATTTAGGGGATATAGCTGGGTATGAAGCTTTGTGTTTAATCTCTAGTACCCCCCCCCATTGTTTTAAAAAGTGTTCTTATGACACAAGAGCTAAATGAGGAAGATATCTGGGAGGGGAGGATGAAGAGCAAGTGGAAGAGTGCTGAACCTTAATGCAGAGGTCAACCTAAGCAGATGATGTGAATGTGATATGAACAAACGGGCTGCTGAACAGAGAGCAAAGTGTTTGTATATTTCCATATAAATTCTGCATAATCATCATGGAATAAAATTCTCTAACTCTGTGTCCTCCTCTTTAAATACTTAAAATATTTTCTCTCCCTTTTTCTTTTGTTTCCACCCAGTGTCTCAGGAGTTGGTACAGAAGAGACCTACAGTATTTCCTTACTTTGTGTTCTTTTCTGAACCCTCTTTATTTGGCTCTTGTCCTGCTGGTTGACTCAGATACATTCTAGCAAAACCCCTGTTGAGAGACTGAAAGACGTCTCCTTGGCATCTAGGATCCTTCCCCTTCCTCTGAACTCGGGGTTCCTGCCCCTGTACTATACTGATCCCCGGGTCCCTCGTGCATGTCCCCTGCTCGCTCTTCCTCATCTGTTCGTGCTGCCCTGGTTCTTCTCTCCCTGTCGTCCTCGGGTCCTCACTCGCTGGATGCCATCACCACTATTAGGCCCCACAGTTGCCTGCTTGAGCTTTTTCCCTCACCCTCATCTTTGCACTCATTGACTCCTACTTATTTACCTGGTTTTAACTGTGTCTGAAATGTTGACCCCAAACAGATGTGACTTGACCTCTTCCAATAGTTTCTTTCTATTTGCTATGACGAGTCTGCCAAGCTTTATATTCTGTGCTTTCCAGGTTCAGACCTTACTCTCCCCTGCACCATATCATAATCACCCAAGGCAGTAACTGTACCTATTCTTTCTCTTTTTCATTCTCTGCAGCTCTAAGTAGGGGGGCTTGCACAAAGCAAATGCTCAGTAGCTATGTTTAGCTAAATTAAAACTATTGTTTAACACAGCACTTAAGTAAGAGAAGCCAACTTCAATATTGTCCTGAGATGTAAATTTACACTGTGCATCAAGACGTTGTTGGAAAGTAAAATGCATGGAGGGACTCCTTCAGTCTCACTGAGAGGCTGGCGCACTCTTCAAAATTAGTGCAAGTTAGTTCACAGCTTTTGGCTTGTGTTCACAGACTCAGGTTGTCCATCTGAGATGGGGCTACTGTAAATAATTCTGGAATGAACACTGTATTCATATAATTTTCATACCTTTTGGATTTGGGAGAGCAGTGCCTCAGGTTGTCCAGTACAAGTACAGCCGCATACCTGCTTGGTTTTATTTCTAGCAGAACAAAGTAAATGATCAAACATATATCTGCTTTAAATTTTTGGAGACAAAGCTCAGAAAGCAAAATTTCAAACTTAATTATGAAAAGAACAGTAAACCATCTAGAAAAAAAACTTAAGATTGCTTATAGTTTTGCCACACAACACAAGAGCAATAATGATTTGTGTTGTTTCTATTCTTTTTAATATCTTTTTTGTAGTTTTAACTGAATAAAGCTACAAAATATTTACACTGTTGTGACTACAATTTATCCACTTCCTTGTTATGCAGACCTGATTGTTCTTACTGATTGCATCTGATATGGGGCTACTATAAATAATTCTGGAATGAACATTGTATTCATATAATTTTCATACCTTTTGGATTTGAGAGGGTAGTGCCTCAGAAATAAGATCGCCGGACTTTAGCACCTATTTGTTTAGTTTTAAATGCACATACATGTAGATTGGACAGGAACCCTTTCTTTGGTGGGTACAATCATTTCCTTTGCTAGAGTCTATTTAATCAGGGAAGGAGAATTTCTGGGTGTTTTGTGTGGCTTTCCCCTTCTCCAGAGCTGTGATAGATACAAAAATGAATAAATCAGGATTCCTTTCTTCTTCAGGGTATTATTTTACCAGAAGAGCAGGCCAAATGGGGAATAATGAGACTGAGGTTAAGATGTCAGATGTAATTTCTGAGGTGATCTAGAGGATGCGGAGCTTCGTCACAGTTGAAATACTGGTAAAGTTTTCTTGGAGAAAGCAAATTTGAATAAAATGAGATGATGTCACAAAGCAAATTTTAAGTACAAAGTCCAGTTCCCATATACTTTCTTTACCTAGCTTATTTTTCCTGGAGATAAAACAATAATTTTTAGTTTTCAAACACTAATTATGGCTAAATTTGTGAGGACAACAAAGATTTATAATTGGTACACTCCCTTTGAATTCTTGTTCACTTTACTTCTAAAATCGACTTGTATAGAGAGCTCTGTTAATAGACATCTTTTCAGAAACATTACTTCTCCATCCCTTAATACGAGAAGTATGAATTTTTATTAGTTTTGACTGAATGACAGTTTACTTTTGCTTGAGACTAAACATAAGTGTCGTAATTGTGCGTGCTATGTCCTTTGCCAATGGATGATGCATGTGTCATTCCACATACTTAGTCTGCAGTGTGGACTTCGTTTTCCCTGATGAAATAGGGTGTTTTTGAGGCACATTTGGGATCTGGAACAGCTTCTCACTCCTCTGGCAGTCTCACCTGTGTGTCAGCCAAAGTCCGCTGGCACCTGTCATCCCATGTGAGAGGACAGGATTCTGGTGTTATAACCATCATTTCTTCCACGCACCGAGATGTGGCCTCTGCCCTCAAGGTTTTCAAGATTTGTAGCAGAATCAGACAGGAGAACAGGTAGGTTATGACCTGGAGCAATAAACTCTGTAGCAACAGGATAGCAACCTGCTCTCAGCACACAGGGGCAGAACCTGATCTTTTTTGGGAAAGATTCAGTTCTCTGGTGAGGTGTGCCTTGGGATTTGAAAGATGAATTCAAAGGTGCCAAGGGAAGTTCAGGTTGGAGAGGACAGTGAAGGAAGACACGCATGTCAGGGGAATCAGGATTCCTGGGACAGTGTTACACAAGTGCCTAGGGTCCCCAGGGAATGATGAGGAGCATGGGATTGGAGACCAGGAATCAACCCTAAGTGGAGGGCTTGAGCAGAGGCATCCTGGGTATGTCAGTAATACCCGGGACTAGCTGTTCTCTGTATTTAAAGTTTCTAGCTCATGGTTGTTTGGCTCCAGTGACAAACAGAACAGTATGACATCCATCTGTCCATCCATCCACCCATCCATCCATCCATATCTCTCTATATCTATCTATTTATCTATCTATCTGTCTATCTATCTACCTACCTATCATCTCCAAAACTTACTTAGAATATAGAAGTGGGAGTAACCCAAGTGCTCACCAGTGATTTTCAAGACCATCTTGAGTCATGGTAATTGTCTTTCTGTGAAGAGATGCTTGTGACCAGTCTTCCTGCCAGAAAACTCTGAATAGATGCTCAAATGACTAATGTCTTATTTTTGTTGAAAGAGAAATAATGGGATAAAATTATTGCCAAAAAAAAAAACCTAAACAAAAGTTTGAAATTGCATATTATCTTGAGCATTTTCATCCAATCTATTTGATTGAAGACTTTAAAGTTAAGATGCTTAAATATTTGGCTTAGAATTTGCTGTATAGTATCATTTGAAAAATATGAATATGGTAATCTGTTACATTATACTGGCTGGATTGGCCGTGCATTACTAGAAGCTTAGTGAGGATTATCTGACTGCTCCGGCCTTAGGTTGATGGATTTTTAAATAAGGTTTCAAGCACTCTGAACTTTGGTGGTGGGTGTATTTCTCCTTAGAGTAAAATATCTTTTCAGTATCCTGGTGCCCACTGATCAACCTCATGAGAACTTGTAAAGACGTGGTTCTTTGTTTTTGAATAAATATTCTGAAACAGATCATGCCTTTCTACGTTTCATCACCTCAGCTAAGTCCATGCTACTTGAGAATCAGTGGGAAGACAGAGGCAGAAACTTCTGGGAGAAGAGGTCACACACACTGGGGAAAAAAGAATGACCGGATTTGAGCTAATCTTGGATGTGATCTTGCATAGTATCATGTCGGGAAGATTCCTTCAGGTCCTAGAGACGGTAGGGGAGCAAGGACAAGGGAGTGAGAAACTGGATCCCCCCAGGCCTGGGACCCTGGGATCTCGATAGCTGTACCACGAAGAGCAGAAAGATCTAAAAGGTACTTGAGAAAAGTATGTAGCAGAAAATTGTTGATGGCCTGGATGTGGTGGTCAAAAGATAAAAAGGAGTTAAAGGCCTTCACTTCTGAAATACTTGACTGAAGTCATAGCGTGACTGTAGACAGGAAGTTCTATTTCTGTTTTCTTCTTTTCCTCTTTTGTAAGCCCTACTTCTTAAGGCACTGGCGGAGAAAGGAAAGAAAAGCCCAGCAAGGACACTTTCGGTGCCTGTATGAGTCACTGGGTGTGGCAGTCATTTGCCCAAGAGGAGCTAAGTAGTGAAGTGGGGAGCTCATTAAATAAATGCCATTCAGTTATTATTTGCTTTATATTTATTTTTCTTGAGGCTAATAGGAAAGATGGACATCATTATTTACATTCTTATCCAGACTAGAATGTAGTTTATCTTCCTTTCTAGGGGGTGTGGTATGAGAGAGAAAGGAAGAAGAAGAGGGGAGTGGGGGACAGAGAGGGAGAGAGGGAGGGAGAGACAGACGCTAAGCCACCCATCCATCTTGTACTCCGTGATTAACACCGGCTGATATCCCAGCTCTCAAACAGCATTGGCTTTTGAGGTCGGCCTGGACAACTTAGCGTGACCCTGTCTCAGAATGACGGGTATGTACCTCAATGGTAGAGCACTTGCCTAGCATGCATGAGGCCCTGGGTTCAACCCTCAGTGCCACCAAAAAATAGAAATATACCCATGCACACACATACACACTGTGCTCATTTTTACATGAATGGAAAACTTTCCATCTTGGCAGAGCTTTTTAATGTCCCTTTTTGTTAAATGGGTGCTGAGCTCCACATAGTTCTGGGTAATTCTATGCTGGTATGAGGCAAGTTACTTAGGAAGCAGAGACTCTAGACTGGATTACCAGCAAGCACAAACGCAAACTTTTCCCCTGGCTGAGCTTGCAATCTTAGATTCTTTCCTCAGTTTCCTCATCTGTGAAATGGGGAAATGGCTAATTGTCTCATGGTGCTGTACAGAACTAAAGCCCTGAGCATGGCCCACGCATGGTGCATGCGAACTGATTTGTGTGGTGATCTAGTGGGCTCCTTGAGGGTGAGGAGCAGGTGTGCAATGATCTCTGTCCTTCAGTTCTCTAAGCAGAGGTGGGACTCACTGAAATAGCTGACTCCAGCTCTTCATCTCCCTGATGCTGTTATCCATTACACTGACATTTTATTAAGGCTGTCTAGCTACTTTATGTTCCTTTTGGAAGTTTAGAAAGTGTTTGCCATTGGCAAATTTTATCTTTCAGGTTTTTATCTTTCTCTGCCCTAGGCTTTGGGACATGCAGTTGGAGAAAATGCAGACAAAAGACTTCATAGTAGGGCCTACAGGCAGAGATTGAATTTGTTATTTTCTCATAGGTATGTTTCTACAACTGCCTAAAGTCAGGAGTGGACATGTGCACAGGTGTGCACTTACACACACACACACACACACACACACACACACACATGCTAGCAATCTGCCTCCACACTGTCCCAGTGATGTTCAGCTGCTTCACTTTCAAAGGACACACGGACTGGAGACTCGCTGATAAATCACCCTCTTCCCTCTGTTTGCCCGCAGGAATACACTGTGAGTTGTACAAGGATCCCTGTGCCAACGTCAGCTGTCTGAATGGAGGCGCCTGTGACAGCGAAAGCCTGAATGGCACCTGCGTCTGCGCACCGGGCTTCACAGGCAAGTGATCCACGAGCTGAGTTTTCAAACTCACCATAGGTCTCTGAGATTGCAGAGCACAAAAATTCCAAATCTCCCATGCACAAATGATTGCAAAATAGGAAGACTATACAATTGCAAAATGTAAAGAAACATTGTTGGATAAAGGTTTATTTTAAAGCATTCGGCTGTGTTGTCATTAAGTGAGGCTCGTCTGCAATCAGCGTTTGGTGCTTGGATTTGCTGAGACTGGCATCACTGCACATTCATTGGGCTGTGGCTCGGAAAAGTGAGAAAAGAACCACTGCTCGAACACCCGGAAATGTGCTTGTGCACGGAAAGAGTGTAACATCACCGGGAGTCAAAGCAGGGCAGAAGGGGACAGGAAGACTCCTGTGTGTCTCCTACTATGGGTACTGCACGCGGGTTCTGCATTTATTTTTATTGCACCACAGAAATGTAACAACATTTTAAAAACTGAAGAAAATTGGTGGCAGGAGGAAGTAAGGCGAGATACCCAGGTCTGTGGCTACAGCAGGTGCAAATGCTATTGCTGTGGGCAGGAAGGAGGGAGAGAGCGTGGGACACAAGTTCTGGGTTCAACAGGAGCCTTGCTGGTCACCAAACTCTGAATGAGGGAGTTAGCTCTAGACTGGGGAGAGAGGTCCCGCCTCACCTGAGGTCCTTCTCCTGAGCCACCCTCCATGAGCTGCGGGGAGTTTTGAGAATTTTCAGAAGCAGATGTGAAAATCTGTGCGATGTATCTGGGTGGAGGGGAGGTTCTCTGGTTTTCATCAGATTCTCCAAGGGACTCTGAACCTGGAGTCCGAGCTGTTTGAACCTTGGTTTTCCCAACAGATCCTAGGAATCATGAAATGTAGACAGTGGGGCAGAGTCTAAGTTTTCAGAGCTTTGCTCCACCAGCAAAGGCATCTCCGTGGTCTGCAGGTTGGTGGAGGCCGATGGCTGAAGTGCCCATAGCAATGGGCAGGAAAACATGTGCTGATCTCGCTGGAGAGCACCTTCCTCTGCTCCCCTGACCCCTGCTGAGCCTCCGAGGCCACCTTCAGGCCCAAGCTTTCTGTACAGCCTGGTCCCTCAGCCATCCCACGAGAGCCTCATTTGTGCTCCTAGGGAAGGTGCCAACAGCCACCATGCAGGAGAAACAACTTCTGATCTTCTTTCTATTTAACTGTGTCACATCCTGTGTTTTCCTTTCGGGGTTTCCTGGGACTGAGAAGTGGTGGGCTTATTCCAGAAAATGATTCACAGATGGTTTTGTTTTGCTGAATGCTTTATATAAACACACACACACACACACACACACACACACACACACACACACACACACTCTTATATATCAGTCAATGAAGGCAAAAAGAATAACATTAGGGAAACATCCTGGAGTTTTTCCAGATTTTTTTTATCTCACTGGTAATAAAAAGCATGGAAGAAACACTAGAAAATATATCTTAAAAAAACCCCACTGCTTAAAACTGAACTACTAGGAAATCATTGTTATTAGCATTTTGATATGTTTTGATACTCAAGGGTTTTGAGGTCTGTGTGTATAACACGTCATATATAGTATATATGCATAAATATTTAAAATAAAAGGGGTTATATTGCCCATAGTATTTTGTTATATAAATACCTTGTGCTAACCAATTGCATCACTGGAGATCTAGCCCATACTATTTTGTAACTTGCTTTTCATTTAAAATATATATGAATCTATGTTAAGAAATATTCTTCTGCTTTATCATATCTACTGCCTGCCTTGTGGTCTGTTATGTGATATATCATGATTTTGATAAAGCCCCATTGCAATTTGACTTTTGGGCAGTTGAGAACTTTTGCTTATGGTAGAGAACATTGAAAGCAATATGAGTGTATGCTTACTTTTGTGTACTTACACAGTTTCGGAAAGGTCTAGAACACGTACATATTTCCGTATTATTCTCCAGTGATAAAATAAAGGCAAATATCAGGCCAACATTCAGTTATACCAAGAGTGACAGGAGTGTCTCTTTTCTCATCTTGACACAAACACTCCAGCATTATCATTCTGGTAGGCAGTAGTGCCACCTTAGTGTGGTTTAATTTGCAGGTGTTTGATTCCTAGCCAGGTTGAAAACTTAAATTTTTTTTTGTCTTCTTTTATGAACTCTCGATGCACACCCATTGTGTGCTTTTCTTCTAGCTCATTAATTCTAATCTTTACTCTTCTTTATTATTTTAAAAATTTAAAAAACTGACAAAACAACAATGAAGACAAAATCAAAATGACACAAAAACAACAAAAACCGATACATGACCTCAAAACAAAAATTATAGGAATTAACAATGGTTGCTGCATTACATACTGTTATCTTCAACAGATTTACTCAGTCCATTAGACATAAGAATGTAAAATTGATCAAACAATTAAAGACAATACCAAATAATAAAAAAAAAGATGCAGAGCTTCACCATACAAGATGGTAGGAGTTTAACAATGGTTCTTATACTGCATATTGTTGTTTTCAGATCAGTCATTCCGATTACCAGATTCAAGCTACAAAACTGGTCAAGATAAAAGAAAATTTTAAGCATTGACTATTCCTGTCAATAAACCACAGGTGTCAGCAATACATCTATCCCAGCTATCCTTGTATATACATATAAATTTTGTTTTTCATTTTAAAAAAATGAAAATAACAAAAACAAATACAAAAACAGACTTGAAATAACTCTTCATATTTAGTATATCACATTTAAACTGACCAGGTTATAAATATACCACCACTTGCCTTTTCTGTCATTTGCCTTTTACATATGTATAAAGTGTTTTATTTTACATGTCATATTTAATTTTATATAATCCGATTTTGATATTTTCTTTTGATTTCTTGTTTCATGAAATATTCTATCAAGACTATAAATATTCTCTTATAATCATTATGAGTTAGTTTTGTGCATTGAAATCTTTAATCCATTTGAAAGTTGCTTTGGTATCTTATGAGAGATAAAATATGATATTATCTCTAGAATATTTAGCAAATCACCAACTACCTAAAGAGTGGAGTGAATTAGGGAGATCATTGCTATTTAACTAGAGACTCAGTCCAGTGTCCCTTCTACTTTCTCTATCTGGGTGAAGATGTGTCCCTCTTAGGCCAGCAGGTGAACTCCAGATTTTCTATGTGGAGAGCAGATTTTTCCTTGCTGAACTTGAAGACATGCTCCTCCAACCCTCAAATCCAGAGAGAGCCTCCTGCTCTCTGGGCCTGGGAAGCCTCCTGAGAACACTTTGCATGAGGACCTTCACCTGCTTTAGGTCCTTCCAGTCTTTCAGTTCCTGCTTTGTGTCCATGCTTGCCTCTGAGGCTTTGCTATTCTGGTATGTGGGTAGTGCTCTCTCAAATGGTTTCAAATTGAATTTTACTTATGATAAATAATGCAGAATATCTTTGCATGTGTTATTTGACATCCAGATCTCCTTCTGAGGCAAGGGTCTCCTATCTTTTGTCCACCCCACCCCCCTGCCTGCTGCCAGGCTACATACTATCAGTGTGACTTATAGTATGTGGTCACGATCACTGGTGTTGACTTGACCACCTAGCTGAGGTGGTGTTGCTCAGATTTTCCCACTGTAGTGTTATTCTTTTTTCTCCTTTCTGTACTTTACTCTTTGGAAAGAAGTCACTTTGTCCAGCTCACCCTGGAGGTCTATGCTCCCCTACAATGACTATTGAGAATTCTTTTGCCTCAGAGGTTTGTTTATTCTCCTCCACTTGCTTGTTTATCCAGTTTTTTATTTATATTAACATGGACTTGTGAGTATTTATTTTATGCTTTAGGTTACAATCCAGTACTCTTAGAATTTATTTTGTTGTTCAAAATGTCCCAGCTTTGGCCACCGGGACTTCTTTCCGTTGGCTCCAGTGAAATATCCCTATTATTCAGGGGGGTGTTGCTGCTTTTGTTTTTTTAGCAGTTTATTCTTTCTGCCTCTGCAAGATGTTCTAGTCTCATCTTGTGTGCTTCATGCCCCGGCCTCAGAATCATTGTCCATTGTTCCAAGAGTTCCTGCTTCTTACTGGGGGATGATACTAGAATGAAGATGTAAGCATTGTCTATCGTCAGTGCTCCTGAGATGTCTTTGCTTTTAGGTCCTTTCAGCTGACATAACAAGGGAGTTTTATATATATATATATATATATATACACACACACACACACACACACATAAGATTAATATATATGTTTATATATATGCATATAAGCTTATATGCTTATATTAATCTATACATATACACATATCTATATATATTGTATGTGTGGCCATCTGTACTGTGTGGGGCCATCTGTACCCATAGTAGGCTAAACATGAGCTGTAATATGATCTCCAGTCTAATCTATCACCACATGGGTCATTCTAGTCCTCTGCTTCATATATTTGTAAATTCTCACATCAATAGAACATATCTGGCTCTTACCGCCAAACATCTATTTGTGTACTTGTTCAGTTCCACTATACATGCACAGCATTACCAAATTGTTAACTTCTATCCTTGTGGGAAATAACTTTCCGAATCAGAACGCAGGGGTTATACAGGGCTCATTTGCATTGAGTCTGACGAGTGCCTCTCACTTCCAAAGTTATGCAGGTCAGCCCCTCCTCCCGCTCCCTGTAGGGAGGCTCTATTATACATTTGTTGTAGGGTTTCATTCCTTTTCAGACATTTTTCCTTCCTGAGATCTTCAAACTAAAGGTTTCATTATTTTTTCTTCACTTATAGAAGTACCATTTCTCAAGGACCATTTGTTGAAACAATTTCTCAAGGATCATCTGTTGAAAAAGCTATCTCTCCTTTATTGAATTCCTTTTGAACCTTTGTGAAACAAAATCAGTTGGCCATATTTGTGTGGGTTGGTTTTCGATCCTCTATTCTTTTTCATCGATTTAGGTGTCTTTTCCTTTGCCAATACAACCCAGTCTTGATTACATAAAAAAGCTATTGTGGCTACACAACTATTGAGTTGAGCAGAAAGGTTTTTCTGTGTTTATTCTTTTTTATTTTCCAAAATCATTTCTTGGATGCTGGTCATTGTTGGGCAAGTTGTTCAATGATTTTAGTTAGTTGTCTTTGTGTGTGTGTGTACGCTAAGCTTTCTTTGTAGCAGATAAATTTTTTTTTGCCAGCCTATTTGATTCTTTCAAGGTTCATTTTGGTGTTTTGGGGTATAAATCTGGGGTGGCCTTTACTCTTATACCTTACTGCTATGAGGTGACCTTTTGTAGCTCCACTGAACACAGTGGGTAGTCATTGAAATGTCTCCACTCTGGCTTGGGTGAAATGGAATACTCTCAGTCTCCAGTGAGTTTGGGAGCTGCTCATCTTACATTTTGCCTGTCAGGCTCCTGGGGTTTCAGCTTACCCAAAGTATTCACCAACAAACTCAAAGGATACAGTTTATTTCTGGTGTTTTTTCCTGAGTGGCTCTGTCTTCTCTAGTGGTCTTCCATCCAAATTACACTGGCCTCCACAAATTCTGATCTTTGTCTCCTCCATTCAATGAGACCATTGTGTTCTACACTGGCCACAGGCAGAAGTCCAGGATGACTGTGGTGCTACACTGATTTATTTCTCTTCTTGCAGCAATCACAGTCATGAACTGTCTATTGTCCAGTTCTGGACAGTGTTTTGTTTTGTTTTCATATAGTTTATCCATTTGTCTAGTTGTTTACAGTGGGAGGATGACAAGTTCCTGTTACTTCATTATGGTAGAAAAAGATCCAAATAATTTTTTAGACTTGTTTCATCTGGAATAAAATCCTTGTGAAGAATGAAGGAATTATACTTCAAGTATCTGGCAGTGACTGACACAGGGGGGAGTATAGGCTTAATACTAGATAATTATGATTACAATGATTATCACTGATATCTGTCTGTGTAGACTCTATTAGCTCAAAGATTTATTAATAGTAAAGATTTTGGAGTTTCTTTTGGTCTTTTGCATTTCCTAATTGATCCAAGGAAGACATACGAATTAGTATGCGTGTAGACTTGCATAAGTACAGTACTACCAGATGTACCTACTATACATATTGCCTCTTAGAGAGTAGGAAACTGAAAAGAAATTGTGAAAGATTTAAAATTCAGACCCCGTTTGCCAGCCTTAGTCAAGTAGAAATTTCATTTTGTATTCTCTTCACAAATGTTACTCAAGAATATGAGGGATTAAAGGGTAATTGATTTTTTCCTTAATTCAGCTAATAAATAAGCATATGCAAGTCAGCTAAAGAATTTACTAGCTCTGGCAAAAAAAGGCTTGAAGATTTATTAAGTTAACCAGTACTGAAGAAACGTAATATCTAATACTAAGAACTCGCCTAATAAACTAAGCTAGCTGCATGTAGATTAGAAATGAGTGCCATTGAGGCTGGGGATTTAGCTCAGCAGCACAGTGCCTGCCTGGCAAGCGCAAGGTCGTGAGTTCGATTCCTGGTACCTTAAAACAAACAAACAAACAAGAAACAGGTGCCATCTGTAATAGTTTAGTCCATGCCCTTTCCCACTCAGAGTGACTTACCGCTTTAATAGAAAGACAACCTTTGAAATAGGTTAGTAAGAAGCAATCAATTTCATGTTCTTTCTATTGATGCAAATGACTATATTTATTGCAAGAAATAAATTCACTTAGACAGTGCTGAATTATAATCAACCTACTATGACCTAGAAGTAGTACATGCTTTGTTCAAGAGATTTTACCTTTAAAGTTAAATAGTCAGATGCCCGGTACCTAAAGAATGTGACATGAAATAGATGTGAAATATTTTATTGTGATATTCCTCCTCTAAAATGGTCTGTGAGTAACATAGGGTGGTTTTAGAAATGTGAGGCAAACCAGTAGCAGATAGAAAAGCAATTTAATGCTAAATAAGCTTGAAAGTACTGAGGTATCGTCTTTTGAAAATGGGCAAAATATTTGATTTTGTTCTTAGTCTATGACTATAGCAATGCTGAGGTTTTTTCTTTCCTGCATTTACCTAACCAAATGAGGTCTTATTTTGAAAATTCCTGTTCCACATTTTCAAACTTTTAAGAAAGAATGCCTCAATTGGAAGGCTCCTCTTCAGCTTTGATGAGATGCTTTTAGATTTAAGAAGCAAATTAGTTTTGCAGTGACTCGTTGTGATGAGTATTAAGTCACCTGAAGCTGGTTTTATTCCTGTAACTTTGGATAACAAGCTCTTTTCTATAAATTGATGTTTGGATCACAGTGACATTGGCTCTGTATTTTGTTTTGTAACTCTGTCCTGGGTTCTCTGAGGTAGGTAAGGATATTTGGAAACGTTAGGCAAGATGCAGGAACCTGAAGTCACATCTTTCACTGTGGGGGAATGACAGACAGAAGGGCCCATGAGCTTCCTTTGGGCCACCATTTCCCACGGAGGGTTGTCAGACGTGGGTTAACCCCATGCTTTACAACTAGCTCTGCTTAAGAGGCTCACGTTGTCCCTGAGCTTTTCAAATCCACCCTCTCCCTGTCCCCAAGGAAGATCTAGCGATTTGGAAGGTGGAGTACATTTTCATAATTGACTCAGGCTAGGCAGACAGCTATGTCCAGAAAGAATCAGTGTCCAGTCTGGCACTCGACTCCTTGGCTACAAGATAATCATAAACTGTGATTTTTCAGTTTTCTGAAGTTTCAGAAAAATAAATAACAAGATGCAGCTGCTGAAGTCCAAAAGGAAATCGACTTCTTTTGTAAAATCAGGAACCTAAGTTTGCTTTCCTAATCAACCTCAGAAGGCTTTGCTCAGATATGGCAATCGGGTTTAATTAACTAGTTAATGGACTAAAGGAGAGATTGTTCTTACCAGTGCTTTTCTTTTCCTTTCTTTCTCTTTTTGGCTTTCCTTAAGTGAAAGATCCCTTGTCTAGAATTTTCTGAGAGTTCTGTACTTTATTCAGATAATAGACTGGGTGCCATTGCTGGAGATCCTGACCACCAGCTGGGATCAGGGTTCTGCTACAGAAGTGTAGGAAGCTGTGGGTCCAGACACTTCACTGCAGCTTCTGCTTATCTCCCTAGGTGAAGAATGTGACATTGACATAAATGAATGTGACAGTAACCCTTGCCATCATGCTGGAACCTGCTTGGACCAGCCCAATGGTTATGCCTGCCACTGTCCCCATGGCTGGGTGGGAGCAAACTGTGAAATCCGTAAGTATTTCTGCATCTGTGCTACTGGTGTTGAGCGTTACATTTTCCTTCAGCAGAAAGAGGGTGCCGACTATTACCAGAAAGCCCCCACGCCCTGATAATGAATAATGAAGGCCAGAAGCACCACCTGGGTCACAGCTATGTCTCTACTTTTGCCGGCTGCATTATCCTCCCACCCCACTCCTTCCCAAGTCTGCATCCAGCCTTTCCACAAGGATGGGAACTTTCAGATGTCATCCAGAGTTCACTGTGACTCCGGCAGCCAAAAATGTGCTTAACAGAGAAGCATTAGAGTCATATCAAAAGCGAGAGCCTCTGTGTTGAAAATTTAAAAAAGCAGCACAGAATGTAAATTCATTTTGCACTTATGTCTCCAAGCGTCTTGAAATGCCTTAAGTTCCATCGATTGCCTGGAGAGAGGTCCACCGTGAGTGTTAAAGGAAAAGCTGGAAAACATTTGGGATCCTTCAAGGTCAGTGTTGTACGATGGGCAAACTCGCAGAAGTTTGGCAATATCAGAATCAAGGTTTGATACACAGAAACTGTCGACCAAGCTGGAAGTGAAAATGCAAATTGATACAGAATGGTGTTTTCAGTTGTTTTGGAAATTACTAAAAATGAAATGTTGAAAGCTATCATCTTCTTATTCAAATTAACCAGGGCAGATGAAATCTAACCATTCTGGTTGGAGAATTGCTTCTTCCTACTCCACATGCTTCTTTTCATGGGAACGATGTTCCACAAGTGTTCTTTCCCGGGCCCTCTCACCCTCCCTTTACTCCTACTGGTTAAAAATAACTTTGCAGGTATGTGAGTTCAGGAAGAAGCAAGTAAGTAGACATAGCATTGTCTGTCTGTCCATCTGTCCATCTGGCTTCTTTTTGACCCCACCTATCTGCTCCCTCTGCTCTTCCGTGCTGTAACTGTTATAAGATCAAGCCCCTTCGCAGTGGCCTAGATGGGCTGGGGGTGTCTAATTCTTAGTATATATCTTAAGTGTGGTGGCTAGAAAAGTCTCTCATGCAAAAATGTGAAACACTGTAACATCCACTTTACCAGTAACAGAGATACTATCTGGCCTCTTATCTGCCTCTCTTTGTCTTTGATTCACAACTTGAGAAGGAGCAGGATAATTGTTTTTGGGTCTCTCCTCAACCTTCCCTAATGTTCCTATGCAGAATGGCCTTAGGACCAATTCCTGTCCTAAAGAAGGGCAAGAAAAATGTCCTTGCTAAAGAGAAAGTCAGGGGATAGAAAAAGATTTCAATACGAAAAGTACTAAAGACTGAAATTTGTTGCCAAATATTGAGGCTCAGTTTAGTGGAATTGGTTGGTGGAGAGAATCCCAGACTTGGGTTGTCAGGACATTGCCCATGCCCTGGCCAGTGCTCTCATAGTGTGGCTGAATTTGGTGCAGCTGCACCTCAGCTTATGTATCTGTAACACAAGACCAGTTTTCATTCTAAAATTTGGTCATTCTATGAAGCGACAAGTGTTGTGACTTGGGGAAGAGTGTTGTGACTTGGGGCAGAGTATTATCTATTTCTGACTTTAAAGTAGCCCCTGTGGAGGTAAACCTGTAGGAGACTATGGATAGGGAACTATGGATAGGAACACACAGGATGTCCTCAGTATTTTTGAAGACAATTCTATCATAGCAGAGAAAACATGAAAATTTTACTTCCTTCTAGTGATGACAGGGTAATCAAGAGACGTACAAGGATAGAATAATAAAAAAGGTCACAATCGGATTCAAATTCTTACATCATCATATTCTAGCTCTGTGACCTGGAGAAATTCACCCCTCTGAACTTTGTCTTTCTCACCTGTGATGACACTGGGCCCATCCAGATAAAGCAGGATAATCTCTCCCTCTCCAGATCCTCAATTCTATCAACTTGCAAAGTTCCTTGCTCCGTAGAAGCAACATATTCACAGATTCTGGGAGTTAGGATGTGGGCATCATTAGGCACCAGGATTTTGCATATGACCTTTCCCTGTTAGCTATCTCATCTTTGCTACTGCTTGCCTTTAAAAGTTATATTTGGGGATTACTTGGGATCAATTTTACCCATATGCGTTGTCCTAGGATGAGTACTTGCGTGACCATTGTTTATCTCCACTCAGGATGAGGTGCTGACTAGGATAAATGCTGCTCTCAAGGCCAGGGAGTTGGGTCCTAGGCTGAATTTCCTGCCTCCTGCAACCACAAGGTGGGAGCAAGGTCACTTTATCTCTCTGGAGCCCAGTTTCGTCACCCATACAATGAAGGATTCAATGACATAATTAGTGCTTTCCCTTCTAGTCCTAGTATTATGAGATTCATCATTAAAATAATATCATATGCAAATGAAAACAACATTGAGATTACAACTCACCCTAGCAAGAATGGATGAAGATATCAACCAATAACAAATGCTGGCAGGGCAGTGGGGAAAAAGGAACCCTTTACTATTGTTGGTGGGAGTGCAGATGGGTGCAACCACTGTGGAAATAACTGTGGAGGTTTCTTAGAAAACTAGGGTTAGAGGTTCCATTTGACCCGGCTATTCCCCTTCTGGGTATCTCCCCAGAAGAATTAAAAGCATCAGACCACAGTGATATCTGTGCACTCATGTTTACAGCAGCACAATTTGTAATAGTTAAATCTTAGAAACAACCCATATGCCCATCAACTGAGGAATGGATCAAAAGGATGTATTTCTTTTATTCCATGGGGTACTACTCAGCCATAAAGAAGGGCACACTGGAGACTTTTATAGGTAAATGGGTACGACTCGAGACCGTACTCATACGTGAAATAAATCAGACCCATATGTGTAAACATCATATTGTTTCAATAGTGTGAGAAATTTAACAAGAAAATAGGATCTGAAACATACAATAGATATTGTGAAAAAAAACCTGTGCAAAAGAAAAGACAAACTGCAGTCAAGGAAGGGGAAAGGAAGAAAGGAAAAAAGAAAAAATATATGTGTACAGAAGATAGTTTTACAGCTAGCTTCTCTTAGTTCCTTAAAAAGAATGTTTTGTGCTAATATTGTTTAAACAAGATATCACACCTATATCTTGTACTCTGATTACTACTGAAGACAACAATGTACAATGTGTGAAGTATTATAACTGTCCTACTAACCTGTTTCAAAACTTGGTTTCATTGTTTACCTATTTTTTCTCTTAAAAAAAAAAGAAACTACATCCAAGATGGTGAAAAAAAATAGTATCATAGTACAGAATAGTTCAGTATAAAATGTGTATGGAAGACTCACAGAGTGTATGCATATACTGAAAACTTGGTTCTCCTTTGTGAACAATATGTGAGAATGAATTGATTTTCTCATTAGCCATCGTTAGAAATCCTGAAACACCCCTAGGATTTTTATACAAATTCATCCTTGTTTAGCTGTTCTATAGTTAGTTACTTCCTGTGAGTGTGTGAGTGTTTCTTAGGAATTTCCCTCTTTGGAGTTACTGTGAGGTCCCCAATTAGTACAGAAGATGTACAGCAAACTGAAGAGATTTACCAAAATCATCAAGAAAATTGATCCTGGGCCATCCTAATAAGATAATTCAAATAGCTACAGTATTTTATTATGTGTTCTGAAACATTTATTATGGATATTAACAAAAAAATTCTTGTGAAGTTTTAATTCTTTGCCAATTGCTGTTATCAGTCTGAAACTGATCACTATTTTTTCTTTGGATTTTTTATAAAGGGAAAATGCCCTTGTAGAATCATGGTCTAAAAATCAAAATTCCTGTGAATCCTTACAAAGTGATATGTTTTGGAACTATGACATTTAGATGGTTAGTGTTATAATCCATCAGCCCTGCTGACTGATGGTTGATCAGGTCTATACATTGAACAATTTAATATATGGTTAAACTATTGAATTAGTTATGAGGTGTGATTGAAAAATAAAGCAAGTATTTAAACTTTAAAAAATTGCTACAGTGAAAATACATTGCCATTAATCCCCCTCAAACTGTCCCCTTTCGCTTTGAACACACTTTTTAAAAATTTAAGTTTTCACCATACATTTTGACCATGTTGTACATTCTGCATTTGAGAAACAGCTAAGCAGGCTGCCTTAGAGTTTTACATTCAACTAGTAAGCAAGAGTCTCTTTATTACCAGGCATGAATGTAGTGCCTGGGCTATAAAGGTTAAAGAAACAGCCCCTGTCTCAGGAGCTCATAATCTAAGCATAATTCAGAATGAATGATGGGAGTAGCTATAAGGCTTTACACAGGCACCTCCAGGAACCAGGGAAGGGAAATGTAATTCCTCCTGCACCAGAGAAGTAAGTGGATATCTTGGTACTATTCCTCTTTAATAGATGGAATTTAATAACATTTGAATGAATCCATGAGATGATGTTTTATGGGAAGTCCTTCTTATGCAAATAGGGTGGGATCTTTGGTTCTCTGGCCATCACTTACGTTAGTTCCCCCATCACTGGGACACAATACACAATACCTACAATTTAAAGGAGGAGAGGTTTACTTCAGCTCATGGTTCAAAAGATTCAGTCCATGGCCGGCTGGCTCCAAGGTAGGGACATTGTGGCAGAATGGCATGGTGGCACAAAGATGCTTAGTTCTTGGTAACCAGGAAGCAGAGCAGAATAGCAATAATTAAGAGAGGAAAGGGGGAGGGGCCAGATATAGTAGCCAAGTCCATGCTTCCATGACCCACCCAGAAGCATACCTCACTAATCCCCTATCCTGGGTGGCTCCAAACCCAATCAAGTTGACACAAATCTAACCGTCACATCATTTTTACAAGAACCTTTATTTCAAAAAATAAACTCTCCATCCAGATGTTAACCCTACTCCCCAAAGCAGAAAATTCTTACCCATTTGCTGTATATTCTTCCAACTGAATTCAAGCAATGTATGTCCCTATTTTTTCTCATCTAGTGGGGTATTCTATGTATATTTTCTAGCATCTTGATGCTTAATAATGTATCTTGAAGGTTTATCCATGTTGGTTTATG